TAAAACATTTCTTGCCTGGGTGTTGGTACCAGTGGGAGGGCGGGGATATAAGGAAAGGGTGAAGGAGGGTGAATGTAGTGGAAATATTACATACTCATATATGAAACTGGAAAAATGAGACCTGTTGAAACTGTTCCAGAAATGGGGTGGGGGGAATAAAGAAGAATGATGATGGGGTGAATTTAACTATGATATATTGTAAGAACTTTGGTAAATGTCACAATTACCCCCAATACAACAATAACAAGATTAAAAAAAAAAAAGACACTGGGCTCGGGAGTGACACTATCCTTGTGCCTGACTAGGGAGTACTGCCTGAAAGTAGAGATAGTCTCAGCAATTTGCCACCACTATAGAGATAAGTACCCCAAAGGACGAGCCCCCCAAGGACAAGGAAGAGGTGTTTCCTTTACAAGATCCCGTGGGCTCACCAAAGTGGTTGTGTAACCGAGCGTCTAACCCAAAGATAGTTTCCCCTTTCCTCCTCTATAACAGCAGGGAACAAATTTCAGGTGGTTTTCACCTATTGAGCGTTCAGAAATAACGAGGTTCAGGTGCAGGGAACCTAGATGCACAATCACGCCTTCTTATTAACATATAGAAAAAAGAGCATTGATATGTTTGGTTTTTATTTTTATTTTATCAAAGAGGAAGCTAAATGCTTATTCTACATGGTTTACGGACAGATGCCTGCTAACTCTAGTCTCCAATGCTGACGTTGATTAAACTCTGACAAAATATTATACATTTATTCTTTAATCCCCTCGCAATTTGGTGACTCTTAGTGTCCCCAATTCACACTTGAAGAAACCAAGGCTTAACAAGTTAGGCCCCGAGGCCTAACATCTAGTAAGAGATGAGTTGGAATTTGACCTCAAGCAGTTAAAGGCCAGACCAGTCCTGCTGCATTCTACAGCTTTCTGAGGGAGTTTTCCCAAGATAGGTTACTAGTCTGCAGACAAGTGGCTCAAAGTATAAGTTAATGACTAAGAGTTTATTTACAGGTCAAATTCTTACTTTGCTGGCTAGTTTCATACTGGACACACTGCAAATCATGTGAGGACAGGACTCCCAGGCAGCCTGAAGAGACATTTGGGGGGCACCTCTGCAAGTCAATATCCACTGCCCCAAAATAGCTTAGCCTACATGTGAAATCTGCCCAGGTGCCCTTCCACCCTCACCTGCCTCAGCCCAGGCTGATTAAATCATTTATCCCTTGGGTACTTTGTTTATCTGTTTGTTTTGCTGGGTATGCATGTAGCTCAGTGGTAGAATGCTTGCCTAGCTAGCATTGCTAGAGGCCCTGGGTTTGATTCCCAGCAAAACAAACAAACAAACTACAGTTAGTTATTTCAAACATTTAGCTTTAAATTCTTAGCAAAACCCTTCAGGTACTCACAGAACTGTCAGAAGTCAGAGAGGAAATAGTAAAAGCTGTTTCAGAAGGAGTGGTAAGTAGATTTCCTTCCATCTTGACTTGTGGGGGAGACGCTGCTGTACTTACATTGAGGTAATTTCTAAGGGGAGGTGTTGAAATAAGCCTGTGAGAAGAGTGAGTAAGCAGGCTCGGCTTCCCAGAGCAGAGAACTGGGTTTGGATAGGTGATGTCAGGATTTGAGGGAAAGGGAAAAGATCTGAAAAAATCAATGCTCTGGAAAGGAATACTCCAGCAGGAGACAGAAGCTAGCCTGTACTACACGCCCTGCTCTCCTTACCTTACCTTGCTTTACTCTTCAGAGCAATGAATTCTGGGAATGCTTATCCTCTGAGCTAAGATAGTCTGCTGTTTCCTGCAGAGAGAACCAGCTTTTTATTCTCTTTGTAGGAGGAGATAAAATTTATACTTATTCTTTTGTGATTCTTTCAGATTCAGTTTTCAAACAGAATTTTCCCCTCTCAAGAGTTAGCAATTAGGGTGTGCTAACGAGGTAGTAGTGCCTGGAGAGGCAGTCAGCCAAGGAGGTTCAGGTTTTTATTTAATTAAAAAAATGTATATTTTAAATTAAATAACATACATAACAATCTCTACATAAGAGATTTGGCTTGATCCAAAATAGATTTTTAAATAACCAGAGGAATGGATGAAGTTTTACATCCTCTGACAAAGTCTCACGTTGAAGTTCTTGGGTGGGTGTCAGGGAATTTTAGGTAACCTTCTCTGTCAGTAGGTTTCTACCACCACACTATAAGATGTTATATTTAGTGTCAATACATAAAGAGTAAGTTTGAAGAAATTAACTTTTTTATAATCCAATATTGTTTTAATTCCTAATTATTTCCTACCTGCTCAGACCTATTTGGAAAGCTCCTTTTTAACTCATCCAGAACTGTTTCCAATGGATTCAAAGCTTCAGCATTGTTTGGCTAAAAACCCCTCAGATTTCTCCCAGTTATGTGTAAAACTCTATGGTGAATTACAGGAAGCTATAAATTAAAAAAAAAAAAAAAAGCCATTTGAATGCAAGGCCCTTAACCTGGTGGGACAAAGCTGCTGGATTTGGGAAGAAGTTTTCTGTTCTTGTGTGTTCTTGAAACACAAGGAAGTAGATTTCCCAGAGAAGGTCTGGATCCCCTGTGTCATCAAGGCAATGGAAACAGGCGGGAGGCTTTGATGACTTCACATTGGTTTGCAGTGGGTTTTCCTGGTGGAATTGGCAGTGGGATGTAGCAGAGATTCCTTGGTCTTCTAAGTCAGCATGCAATAAAGCTCCCTGGGGATCAAGTGTATAAAACAAGGAAGACCCACAAATGGGATCTAGCTCAGGGGAAGCATATGTAAAGGCCTGGGTTCAAGCCTTAGCACTTCAAGGAAACAAACAATAAATAACAACAATCCCCCTCCCCCCCACATGTATAAAAAGGAACCAATTAAACAAATGCAAACTGTGAAAACAGCTGGGTGGAGGGGATAAATATGCTAAATTGAATCTGTGGTCATCAGAGAAGACTGAGATTAGTTGGAGGAATCTTTATGAAGAAAATACATTTGAGTAGAATTTTCCAAGGAGGACAGAGATTCTAGATTAATAGGAAGGAGGGCATTACTAAAGTTTATAGGGCCCTTACAAGTGTGGCAGGCAGGCCTTGCCCATCAAAGATGCTCACATCCTAATCCCTGGAATGGATGAATGGCACATGACAGAAGGGATGGTGCAGATGTGATTAAAGTTAAGGACCTGAGATGGAAAGTTATCCTGGATTAGGTGGTTCTATTCAATCTAATTAACATGGATCTGCAGAACAATGGTCAGAGAGATGTAACATTATTGGATTTGAACATGAAGGAAGGAGGCCACAGGCCTCCTTCTGGATGCTGGAAAAGCAAAGAAAATTCTCCCTTATAGTTGGAAAAGAATGAAGGTGTGCTGACACTTGATTGTAGCCCTGTGAGAACTGTGCAAATTTGAATCCATGGAACTGTAAGGTAATATACTTGAATTGCTGTAAGCTTGTAAATTTGTGATAATTTGTTATAGCAACAAGGAAATTTAATGTAAAATGGGACAGCAATATGAGATAGACACTATTATTATGGTTTTACAGATGGGGAAACTGAGATATGAAGAGATTAGGTTCTTGCCCAGGGTCACACAGCTGTGAAGTAACATCAGTCCAGGAATTCCAGTTTAGGACACCTGTGTTCAGAGGTCATGCTCTGAACTATTAGGCAATTCCACATCCCAGGATTTTTTGTGGGGAGGAAGAAGGAGGCAGGCTTCTAGTAGAGGCTCAGGGAAGGGAGTGAGTCACAGGCTGGATGACTCAAAGGAAGCGCAAAGCCCTGTATTAATGGAGACCAGAAAATAGTTGTCCCTCAGGCTAGGTTTGCACCTGATTAACCTTCCTCCATCCCAGCTTTGATCATGACTGACTGGTTTGCCCGACAAACATGGTGTTAAAGAGGACTCCTTCACTGCACCTTTGCTGAAGCCTCTCTTTCCACCTGTCTGCTGCCCACCCCCTTTTGAGAGCTCTAACCCCTCCCTAACCCCACTTTTGGAGGCCCTAGGATTCAAGGACTTTGGTATGAAATTACACATTGCCCTGGGCCTCCTTTGTATCTTTGTCACCATGTGTCTTAAGCTCTCATTCTCATCGTTTACTTTTTCTGACGCTTATAATTTTCTTCCAAGTTGACTGGTCTCTGTGAACTTGCTTTGGGGCAAGGGGACAGGAATCTACTCAGAGTGGTTGTCATGGTCAACTGGAATTTTTATTCTTGCCTAAAATAAATCTTAACGACCACATGCAGGTTGGCTTTTTGAGAGGGCAGCCTTTCCTTTCCCTGGCTCCCCAGTACGCAAAGTACATCAGGCCGTTTTGTTAAAAGTTCCCCAAGCTTTTCTTACAGATCAAGGGTGACTGACGGTGACCTTCTTCATTACTGTGGCACTCCCACAGAGTAGCAGAAGACGAGAATATATGGTACAGCCAAAAGGCCAGTGGACAGATAAATAGGGACAGGTAACGAGGGAGAGCCGGAGGCGACTTGGTTCCCAGCGGTCACCGCCGCGGGCACCACCTTACCCTCTAGCAGGCATCGCAGCCCGGGTTGGTCACGAGCCCGCCAGCCCCACCCTTTGCCCCGCCCCTTTCCCCGCCCCTTGCCCCGCCCGCCGCGCTCGCGCCACCTGTCGCTCGCCCCCGCCGTTCGCGCGGTGCCGCGCCTCGCCGGCTCCTCAGCCTCCAGCCAAGATGGCGGAAAGCAGCGAGGGTCTGGGTACCGTCCCGGAACACGAACGGATCTTGCAGGAGATCGAGAGCACCGACACCGCCTGCGTGGGGCCTACTCTCCGGTAAAAGTCTCATCTTCTCAGAACCTGGGCTCACTCTCGCCCGTTGCTTCTTAGGAGCCGGGCGGGCGCGCGCCGGCCCGACAGGTGGTGCGCGCGGGGGCGGGCGGGGGCGCTCGTGGGTGGCTGGACTCTGGGCTGCGGCCCGCGCGGGGCGGGGCGGGGCGGGGAGGGCGGTTGCACCTGTCAGCGCGGCGATGGCGGTGGGGGCGCGGGGCGAGCCACCTCGGCCTCGCGAGCTGTCACCGCAAAGCCGGTGGGTGTGGCTGCCGCGGTGGCTCTGAACCGCCGGAGCCGCGGCGCCGCCCGCGCACAGCTCGGCCCCAGCCCGGGTCTCAGGACGCGCCTCGGCCTGCTCCCGTCGGGCCCGCGGCGGGCTGACGGTGCAGTAGCTTCGCCGTGCTGGGGGCCACAGCCGGCGCGACAGAGGTGCCAAGTCGCGCGCAGCTGGAAACGTGGCGCGCTGGGCTGCTGCGGGCGTGGGAGAATTGAATTGAGCGGGAGACGCCGGTACCCTTTCCCCGCGCGGCCAGGGTGGGCGAGGTGGCGGCGTGGGCTGCAGGGCGGGTTGCATGCCTGTGTGACCGTGCGCCCCTTGGACACAGCAGGCTTTTACTTATTGACAGACATGTCATTCCTTTTTCCGGTTATTTTGAAACGGATCCCTAGCCAGGCTCTTTGAGAGCAATACCAGGTAATGAATATTTCATGTCAGACCGAATGCCTGCTGCCCTCACGGAACGTTAGCCGGGCACCGTACTCATGGCTAGCTTAGGTTAGGCGCACTCTGCACTAGTAAGTTCTATTTAAAGACCTCGTCTTTCGCAGTGACGATAATGACAAATGGTGATTCATGTCGGGAACTTAGCTGATTGTGCCTCATCAGTACTGTTTCTTCAGGGATACCCTTCCTGGACTTGCAGCTCTGTGGTTCCTGGACTTGTGAATGTGGTGTAAAGTGAAATCAGTTCAAGTTATGTGAATGCACCTTGCCCTGAGAGACTGGAGGCCTGGTTTTTCTTTTTAACCCTGTCTCTGATGAATTGTGCCGAAAAGAGCAAAAATCAGCCAGGCGCCAGTGGTTCACATCCGTAATCTTAGCTACTTGGGAGACTGAGATGGGGCAGATCTTGGTTCTAGCCCAGCTGAGGCAAATAGTTCACAAGACCCCCATCTCCAAAATAACCACAGCAAAATGGACTGCAGTGTGACCCAAGCAGTACAGAGACTGCTTTGCAAGTGCGAAGCCCTGAGTTCAAACGTCAGTCTCACAAAAAAAAAAAAAAAAAAAAAAAAAAGAAAAAAATCTCTGGATCTCTGTTTCCTTACTTGAAGAATGTGGGTGGGGTGGGGTGCGGGACGGGAGAGAATGTGTTTAGGTGCCTAGAAAGCCCAGGACATTAGGGACCTTGCCTATTTGTTCACTGCTATATGGCTAACATTAAGCATGTGGTAGCTGTGTGGTATGTTTTTGTCACATGAACTTCCTGCTATGGTATCGTAACACCGAAGTAGTGCTTTTCCTTAATTTTTCAACATGAATCGTTCTTTTAATTAAACTTTATTTGGAAATTAAAGTAGAAATCAGATTAAAAAGAAGCTTTGTTTTCCACACTGCATCTTGAATCTGATAGTACAGCTTGGGTCTAGTCACTAGTAGTCCATTTTTAAAACAGTATTGATTATGAAGGAGATACTTCATCGTGGAAAATATGCTAGGCATGTTCATGAATTAACTTTGAAGAAAATTTGGGATATATTCACGGACTTTTGGGACACTCATAAGTAATGTATTGTGGTGGCATTCTGTGTTCTCCTTGGCTGTTCTCTTTCACACACACACACACACACACATACACACACACACACACACACACATACATACACACACACACACACACACACACACACACGTCATCTCTCATTTACAGGCAGACTCTATATCTACATAGAAGGCACTGCTAACAGTTTTTTCTCTTGAATAGTGTATGCATTGTCCCCCCTCCCTTTTTTTGGTTTCACTAGCTGAAATGCTAATATTCATATTCTCTCTCTCTCTCTCTCTCTCTCTCTCTCTCTATATATATATATATATATATATATATTATATATATCTTTCTTTTTTGTGGTACTGTGGTTGAACTCAGGCTATTACATTTTGCAAGGCAGGTGCTCTACCACTTGAGCCACTCCACCAGCCAGATAACATTCTATTTTTAAAAAGCTTTTATTTTGGAAAAAATTAAATGTTTAAGGCTGAGCATTGTTATTCATGCCTGTAATCCCAGCACCTGTGAGTCCCAGGCAGAAGGATTGTGAGTTCAAGGCCAGCCTGGGCTACATAGTGAGACCCTGTCTCAAAAAAAAAAAAAATTGAATGTTTGAAAGAGTAACATAGTACAGAGAAGTACTATAAACCACCATCTATTTAGTTTCAGTTCAACCCCTGGTCAGTTGAGCTTGATTTTTCCCCCTATCTTTTCTTTTACCCTCACCCTGGGTTATTTTAAAGCAATTCCAAGATACTGTGTTTATCAATACATATTTCAGTATTAAAATTAATTTTTATTAATTCCTAATTATCTTGTAGCTGGCCTGTCAGCTTATATTATTATTATTACTATTTTATTTAAATTATTTTTCTCAGTGTTAGAATTTAAAAATTTAAAAATCAATAATAGAAAATTTCAGGCTGGCGGAGTGGCTCAAGTGGTACAGCGCCTGCCCTAGCAAGTGTGAGGCCCTGAGTTTACAAAAAACTGCCCAAAAAAATGAGAACTCTCTGGAAAATTCTCAAATATTTGATCACTGAATAACATACTTCTAAATACTCCATATGTATCCTGTATGTCAAAGAAGAAATAAAATGAATAAAGAATAAAATGAAAACAAGTCTGGCATGGTGACATGTGTGCACTTGGGAGGCTAAAGGGCAGGTGGATTTTGAGTTTGAGGCCAACCTGGGCTATGCAGCAAGATCCTGTCTCAAACATCACCACCACCCCCTTGACATATCATTTTTGGGGTGCAGTTGAAGATAAGGAGAAATGTGTAGCATTAAACATCTCTACTAGAAAGGAAAGATTTCAGTTGCTAACTTAAGAAACTGGAAAGACTGGTGGAGTGGCTCAATTGGTACAGCACCTACCTAGGAAATGTGAGGCCCTGAGTGCCACAAAAAAAAAAAAAAAAAGATGAAACTGGAAAAAGAAAAGCAAATGAAACCCAGAAGAGTGAAAGAAAGAAGATGATAAAAATTAGAGTGAAATGAAAAATGAAAGATTAGAGTAATGAAAAAGAAAATACAAAACTAGAGAAAATCAGCAATACCAAAGTTCTGGTTCTTTGAGAAAAGTAAAACTGATAAGCCTTTGGGGGTGGGGAGAGAAGATAGAAATTACAATAAGAAGAATGAGATATGTAACATGATTACAGATTCTACAAATATTAAAATAGATAGTAATTATGAACAACTTCATTCCAGTTTTGACAATTTAGCAGAAATGTACAAATTCACTGGACGATAGAAGGAATCAAAGCTCACTTAAAAAGAATAGATGGCTGAATAGCCCTGGTCAATTAAGAACTGGAACTTGCTGTTAAAATCTTTTCCCCAGAAGGAAACTGTAGACCCAGATGGCTGTACTGGTGAATTCTGTAAGATTTAAGGAAGAGTCAATATCCACCCTTCTAGAAAATTGAAGGAGTATTTCTCAACTCATTTTGAGGTCAATCTGACACCCAAACTAATGAAGACTTTACTAGAAAAAAAAAACTACAAACCAGTATTCCTCATAAACACAGATTTAAATACTTTAAACAAAAATTCAGCAAAATAAATCTGTTTGATACATAAAAAGGATATATATATATATAATATATACAGCATATATAAGTGAGGTTTATTTTGAGAAATGCAGCTTAACATTTTAAAAGTCATAATCAATTCATAGTTTTGCAATATTAAATAAAAAACCTGTATGATCATTTCAATAGATGTAGAGAAATCATGGACAAAATCTGATATTTCTGATTAAAAAAAAATCAGAAACTAGCAGTGGAAATTTCTCAGATTAAAAAATGGTACCTATGAAAAGTGTATAGCTAATATTTTACTTAATGATGTTTTTCCTCTAAAATCAGGAATAAAATAAGGTTATTCTCAACACTGTACTAGAGATCCTGTCCAGTATAATAAGGCCATTAAAAAAAAGTATGTAGTTCAGAAAATGGTCTTTATTTTCGGATAATGTGATCATTGGTATAGAAAATCCTGTGGCATCTACAGGGAAGCTATTAGACCAGAAAAGTGAGTTTAGCAAGTTATAGGATACTAGATCAATATAAAAAACAATGCATTTCTATAGACTAGCAATGAACAATCAGAAATTGAAAGATTTGTATATGAAAACTATAAAACATTACGGATAGACCTACATAAATGAACATATGCTGTATTTCCCAGTTTATCTCAACTTTGTCTATAAGTCAAAGACAATCTCAGTTAAAATCCAAACAGAATAAAAATTTGTAAAGATTAGCAAGCTGATTCTAAAATTCATATGAAAATGTAAAGGATATAGAATAGCCAAACTAACTTGGAAAAAGATGAGCAGAGTTGCAGGACTTAAACTACCTAATCCTCCCTCCCACCCTCCCTCCCCTTTCCTTCCTTCCTTCCTTCCTTCCCTCTTTTCTCCCTCCTTTCTTCCTTCCCTCGCTCCCTCCTTCCTTTCCTGACTGGCTTCAAACTCATTGTCCTCATGCCTTAGCCTTCTGAGTGCTGGAATTCCAGGAATGAACCACCATGCCTGGCTGATATAGTACCTGATTTTAATATTTATTTTAAAGCTACAATAATCAAGGCAGTGTGGTATTAAACATCAAGATAGACAAATAGATCAGGGAAAACTGAATAGATAACCCATAAGTGGATTCACACATGATCATTTGCTTTTCAACAAAGATGAAAAGGCAACTCAGTAGAAAGGGAGTTTTTTTCAGTAATGGTGGTGAACAGTTGGATTTCCATATGCAAAATAATCATCTTTGGTGATATTTTATACCACATTTAAAAATTAATTCAAAATGGTCCATAGATCTACATGTAAAATGTCAAACTATAAAGCTAGAAAACATAGGAGAAGAATTTTGTGACTTTGGGATAAGCAAAAATTTCTTAGTATTATAAAAGCACAAAACATAAAAGAGGATTGATAAATTGGACTTTGTCAAATTGAGAACATCTAGTCTTCAAAGATATTGTTAGGAAAATGAAAAGACAAGCCACAGACTTGGAGAAAATATTTTCAGATGCAGAATTGCATCTAAAATGTGTAAAAGAAGTCTTCGAGCAAATTATATAATAGACAAAAAAATGTATAAATGATTTGAATAGACACTTCTCAAAAGAAGGAAGGCACACAGAGAGCATAAAACATAGGAAAAGATGCTTAACATTGTTATTTGTTAGAAATGCAAAGTAAAACCACAGTGTTACCCTGCTGCAC